GCCGTCCAACTTCTGCCCAAACGCCTGTAGGTAGAAGTCCTCGGTGGTGAGCAAGCGAGCGTCAGTGTCCTTCGCAAGGCGGGCGATGTAGAGGCAGATATTCTCCTTCACTTCGTCTGCTGTAGTGCCGCGAGCCACGCGAAACTCAAACAAGAAACGGTTGCCGGGTTCCCGGGTCCGAGCGACATAGGTGCCGACGCTACTGAAGAAGTCCGTGCTGCCTTGCAGGTACAAGTCCGAGAAAAATTCCGACAGTGAGCAGTCGCTTCCCGAACCGCTGCCCTCGGAAATGTCGTCCGCATCGTTCTCAACATGAGCTTCGTCGTTGACACGGGGCTTCTTTTCCACAAGAGCTTCGTCGTTGACGCGGGGCTCGTTCTCCACAAGGGTTGCGGTGTTGTCGCGGGCTCGTTCTCCACAGGCGCGTCGGGCAGGATGTAAGGGTTCAGGATGATGATGTTCACCACGTCGCCGTCGCGGATCCGGGCACCGTTGACTGTTCTGCTGTTTCCAAGGCGCACAGTGTTGTAGGCAATCTCCAAAGTCCAGTAGTTAGGGGCGAAGTCAAACTGCTCAACGATGGCGCGCTTCACAGGCGAGATTGTCATCCTCAGTTTCACTTGCATCTGCACCGACTCGCCAGAAGGGTGGAGTAGACGAATTGTCATGTCTGCATCCATCTTGAGACCCTTCAGGCGTCGCTTCAGATCCTTGGGCTCCATCTCACGATTGTGAACGTCTAGCTCAAGTTGCTGGATGGGCATTCGCTCCACCGCTTCCGCACTCGTAGCAACATCCGACATCGCGAGGCACTACAGGCTGGCACAACTGACTACACGCTTCTGCTGGGCAAAACTGACAAGCAACAAAATCACATCTCCTGCGATCTGCAACGATGCGCCATCTGACTGGAAGCACCAACACGCTGAACGAATGCAATTTTGTCACCACGTGTGAAGTGTTGTCACCAAGCGTTGCTGTCCTGACACTTGGCTTCTGTGCTGGAGCGTTTGTTGCTCCTAAGAGACCGGCGCTGTGCCTAAAAATCTACGAAAATATGTTACACCTCACACCATCCGACGAGGAAAACAAAAGTAGTTGTAGTTCAACGTCTCGTGATTCTGGTTGTAGTAATATTGAGCAGGATGGGCCATATCCTGTTCCACCGCTGCGCCATCTTGCCCTGCATCTTGTTGGGTGCACCCTTCGCCTTTTGAGTCGCGTGGTCGCGCGACTCTCTCGGATCACCCGTCTGAAGATAGCGGGTGTCATAGTCTTTCTCGGACATTGTTGGAAGCACGAGGAGTGTAATCTTGATATGAAAAGGCTTCTGGAATGAAGCAAAGTTTGCTCTTGGCTGGTGCATTGCGCCACTCACTGTCAGCAGATCTCGCGCAGACAAAGCAAGAAGAAACCCTAGCACTAAACACTAAACCTAAACCCAAAGCATAAGAGTATCCTGTTGGGATCTCACCGAAGCACTGCTGGAAGTCGTGGTAGCTCACGGCACGTGGCAAAGCGGAAGGGGAAACCCTTAACCCTAAACCCTGAACCAAATTCTATAAGGAACCCCTCGCCTATTTTCGGCTATTGGCACCACGCGTAGAGTGATGGAGTTTCGTAGAAACTTTACCTAGGTAGATACGGGCATTATTCCTAAGATTGTATTCTAGGGTTGGGACAGAGCTTGTGTGATATGGGGGTGGGGCTAATAGCGGAAAATAGGCGCGGGGGGTCCTAACTGTATCCGCCTCGTAAGACGCCGGGCGATCTCGACGAGGCCTTGGTGGTCCTGTCGTTGGCCCAGTGAAGACCTGTGCCGCCCTATGTTCATCCAACTTTGGGGGGGGGGGGGGTTTTCACTCCCAGAACTTTTTCTATCCCCTCCCCGAACAAGCAAACGTTCTAGGGCACTGGCATGGTGACATGGCGGGTCCAGCGAAACGGGCCCTGGATTGTGCTCTTCGACTCACCACGCCTTGGCGGGATCCGGAGTTCCTCAGGCCCCGGTACGGGTGGTTCCCAGCTGGTCCACCGCAGTGGCAGCATCATTTTTCTCAGAGTTAACTTCACCTTCTTCATCCACTTCGATGCCCCCCAGACTCCTGGCTATCAGGGGGGATTCATAATCCCTCCAAGATGGCATTATCGACACCCACTGCACTCCAGAGCTCCCAAAGGTTCAACCCCGGACCCAGCAGAGTGGCCTTAGATCATCCTTGTATCTCGCCCTTCAACCCCACCCAGTTTAAACGAGCGATGCGAGAAGGGTGGAGACCAAGGAGAGAGAGCAAGGGAGTGGAGAGAGCCTCAGCAAACCGACCTGAGCCGAAACGCTTGAGCAATGAGGGTTTAGGGTTCAGTGTCTAGGCTTACTAAGAGCATAAAGCCCGAAGAGCCTAAAAGCTAGTCCCGACAAGCCATAAGAGACCTATAATAAAAGCCTATAGCACCAGAGACATCAACCTGAGGCATAGAAGATTTACACCCAACCCCCAAGAGGAACGCACGCTTTTGCTTTCGTTATTTTAACTTGCCCTTTTTTGCGTGGTTTCCTTACCTTTGTCCACTTCAAAAAATGAAGGATATCAAGGAAAAACGGTGGAAAAAGAGCCAAATTTACAGAGTGAAAACACGCATCCGTTTTACTTCTTTGCTTTTCACCTTTAAGCCGGCCCTTGTTTCGTTCTCTTCAATTTCCCAGCGTTTTCGTTTGATTAATTCAATTATAATGAAGGGCAATGAGATGAAACGGAAGCGTGCATTCAATTGATAAAACAAAACACGGCTCTTTTGTCTGGTTCTTTTCGTGCTTCATTCCATTCCGATACAAAAGAACCAGACCAAAAGAGATAAAATGAACCCGTTTCCCATGAATGATGTGACCAGTGGACGAGAAGATTAATGGTGTGGTTCCGTTCCGTGGCTGTCATGTTTGTTAGCTTCTTTTTGGTGTTGTTTCGTGCTTCCTTTCATTCATTACAAACGAGCCGAGGACAAGAAGCACAAGACAGAACCGGAACAACTACGGAACCCAGATGTCGGCTCATTCCAAATTCTTCAGTTTCCACCACCCAAGCTGTTTTCAATTCACTTTAAAATCTCATACAGTCCGAAAAGAAAATACCTGCGGACCATCCCACGGTTGCCAGGCCATGACCTTACAAGCTTATGCATGCGTGTATGTCAGTGTATGTAGTACTTAGTTATGTCTTAGTACGTCCAAACACATGCATGCATTGTATGCACAAGCTGCAGCACTGACACCGACAACCGAACCCAGTCTTCTGTGACACATTGCATGCCAAGAAAACTGCATGGGCACGAAAAGCATTCATGCTTGAGTGGCTGTTCCAGAAGTACGAAGGTGTGCCAAGGTGACAGCATATTTTGGTAAGTACCTGGTCTGCCATGCTGCAAGACTCACTGGTACTCGATCGGAAGTCCTTAAACTCACAGTGCATGTGCAATGCAACACCTTAGCCACGTGCGCACCATGAAGTACTAGGAAGCTCGGCACAAGAACTCACAAAGTCAGGAGAGGATAGCTTCCAATGCCCTTGCTGCGAGGGACACATGGCTGGGCACACCGACTGCACACAGTACCAGGTGAGAGAAAACACACACACGCACAAAGGCACACACAAAGGCACACACAAGCACGACAACTGCGCTCACTCTGCACTTGTTGCTCCAACTGTCGGACTCCGAGTTCGTTACAATTCGCAACACGGGATGCCACACTGGGCACAGCTCCGGTTGGAAGACCCAGGTGGACGATAAACCGTGAAAGTTTACATGCGACAGTCTACAAGGAAGTTGGTCTTTGACACGCGATCGTCAAAATGGCATACTAGTGTCGAGTGTAAAACCTGGCGCAGTCCGAAAGAAACAGAGCATCTACAGGCATCGAACTTGCGACTACAAGAGGGAGCAGCAACAGGACAAGGACATCACCTGAAAGCACGCCCCATGGTCTCAGATCTTTGAAGGAATCCTAAGCGGGCGAGAATGCAAGAGCGAGGGGTCACACTGTGGGCAGATTCATTGGCAGCTTTCCCTCTACATGTGTACACCTTCATAGTGGATGCTTGAAATTCACAGATTTTGGTGAGGTGGCCTGAGGGCCACCCGCACCACCTGCCGCACGGCCTTATGTCTTGACCGAAACTACCCTCGCCATGTTCTGAAACTCCACCCTGAAACTAAGCACCTTCCTTTGGGAGAAGGAGCTTCAGCAGGATGATAGTGGCAGTTGGAGGGGTGCGGTGGATGCTGCCGGGAACGCAGAACCGCTTTAATGTTCCATGGCTTTCTGACCGCAGCCTTCTGTGAGAGAGTGTCAGGTTGCTGTCCCGCCTCGCCCCCCGAAGGGGTCAACGTCAGGTCAGCACACGCTATGACACTTCACAAACAAGCTGGGCAGAAACCATTTGGGGTGTTAAGGTAAAGCGTGCCGCCAAGTTTCAGTGTCTCGCCGCTCGGGCCACAAAGGGCGTGACCCCTGACCTAAGTAGCCTGAGACCTGGCACTTTGGCCTCTAGTGGCCTGTGCTCGACTCGGACATCCAGACGGAAAACAAACAAGTTACAACTAATTAACCCTGCTGCCATAGACAGCTGTCATCGCGTCTATCGAAATCAGTATCCTTATCACCCCAGGTGTATGTCGCGCCCCCGCGCGGCGAAAGGCGCGGAGAAAGCCATAGGATCGTCGCCCTCGGGAGTGCGTGAGACATTGGAGGATATCGGATAGCTGCGCATCATCCGCCACTGACCTCCCAGCAAGCACGGGCTTCTCCCCGGCACTGCAGCTGCAGAGCCCCACAACCCGCGATCCACCTCCCAGCTGAGGCGACACAGCGCGCGCGCGCGCGCGGCATCTTGTCAACTCCTGGCCCCCTGGAACCCCTACAGATATTCTCATCACGAGAACCCTTCTCTGCAAAGCGGGTCGGAGAGATGTCAGCGGTCTTAGTCTCTGGTCTGGCGGGCGGGTGCCTTCAAGGGCTCCCCTTCCCGCAGTCGCCAGCGCTTCAGAACGCCGGCCTCACCGACTTTGGGCGAGAAGTCAGAGCCCTCCTCCTTCCTAGCGCGCGGAGTCTTGCTGGGCGTGGGACGACGTAGGAGTGGGAGCGCACCTCATCTCACTGACCCAGCCAGAGCCGCAAGAGCTGCAGACGCAAGTAGCTGACCCAGAGGCCGCCAGCCAGGCCACAGAGCAGGCCTACAGCCAGAGGCCATGCTTAAGCCCGGCTAAACACTGCACCGTCACTGCACCTAGAAAAATGTCCACCGCCAAGCGCAGGAGCGGAAAGTCCGTGTCGGAGCCCTCGCCGGGCAGCACGTTGGAACCTCAGAGACCAAACCCCTCCCTAGGCTGCCACCAGGCGCCCAGGCGCCCACTGCTGCACTTGGGCCGGGCGACTTATCAGTGGCAGCAGGCTTGCGCTTCCGGTGGTCAAAGTCCTCAAGATCTGGCTGTTCTCTCACTCCTCTGCTCTGAGAGTCTCTGAGAGTCCCTGTGTCCTCTCCACGGCGTAGGTGATTGCGCCGACGATGCCTCGAGGAAGTCGCCACAACTCAGACAAGACACCAAGGCAGCTATTGCTCTGAGAGCTGAGGTCTCCCCGATTGGCACTGCAGGCTCAGCTCCTCCGGGGCCGGTGCCGGCCGTAAAGCAGCCCCAGTAAGCGAAGGCATCGTAGGTCTGCAGCGAGCAGAGAGAGGAGAAGCGACGACGCACCTGCTCTCGCCTGTGGCAGCATCAGCTCCAAGGAGAAGATCACGCCGCCGATGGGGGCGCTGAAGGAGGCCCCCACGCCCACGGCGCAGGCGGCCAGGAGGAGCTTCGACACGGCCGAGCCCACGCCGCTCCCTCCGGCTCCATGGGCCCCGTGGGAGCTCTGCACTCGCTTCCTGTGGCGATTTCGAATCTCTCAATTTAAGTCTGTAATCTTTTTTAAGTCCTTTTCGAACTAGAGAGACATTACTTCATGGCTGAGTGCTTTTGGGCGTCTCGAAGAAGGAGGGGTGGATCACCCGAGCGATGCAGGCCTTGCAAGGGAAGCGCTCCGCTTCTCAGAGACTCGCTTTACACGCACCACGCCCGTCTCTCCGAGAGACGGGCCGCCATGTGCACGTTGGGGCCTTCCTGCGGCAAGGCAATGCCGAAGGGGGTGCGTAAGCGCAGAGCGCGCTTAGCCGCGCCTTGCCAAGCGGGAGGCCGGCGCCCACTCCCAGGGACAAAGCCAAGGCTTTCGACACCAGCCTTATATGTAGCTTATAGTCCAGAGGCATTTAGGCCGTGTAGAACTCTGCCCTTGATTCTCACACGGGTCGGACAGGTCTTACGCCTGAAAGCCCTGGGTGCCACCAAGGCGCCCCGAACCTTAAAATCTCTTATAATATCTGCACGCGGCAGCGAGAGCAGGACCCTTTCTGAGAAGAGATCACGGCAGTGAACCACAGGCACAGCGCCACGACCCGCGAAAACAGTCAGATGCTTTTCTTCTAGACCCCATCCCCTACAGTAGGGCCCCCCTCCGGGCGAGAAGAAGAGTAAGTAAGGTGAACTGCCGCTTGTCTGAGTTGGTCGGGCACGCGAAAGGTGAGGAAGTTGAAGAGGACCTTCCCGAAGAGCATGGCCTGAGAGAGGGCCGGCCGCGAAGCCCTTGCTCCCTTAAGATTGAGCCATTGAGCCTTCATCTCCGGGAAGCCGCTGCCCTCCGCCTCCACCTCAGAGAGCGGCTCTGCGGCTCTGCTGCGGCTCTGCCCGGGGGCCGGGGGGCCCCGGGGGGCCCGGGCCGTCGGTCGGACGATGAGCCGCGCGAGGCAGGCCATGCCCACGTTGAAGCCCAAGGCCTTGAGCCTGCACGCTCGGAGCCACGAGGGCCACTCCACACTTGAGCTGGTCTATATTAGGGCCCGCCCCAGGGCCCGCGCGGCGCGCCGAGGGTCAGCGTGGAGCGCAGGAGCCCCGTGCCGTAGGTGAAGCGGTCGATGAGGAAAGACAAAGAGCTCGAGAGGATCTCGCAAGCGCTTGTGACGTCTCCCTCTCAGCGCCGACTCACCCCTGACAAGCTCACACATCAGCTCCCGGCTGCAGTGACGAAGAGTAGGATCCAGAATCGTCTGAGGATGTGCTTCTCCTCGAGAGCAGAGCAGTCCCGGCTCCGCTACTTAGCCGCTCGTTGCACCACCGCCTCGCCTCCTTCTGCAGGTCCTCGCAGCGCTGGTAGTGGGCATCGTCTTGGACCACGGCTGAAGTACCCTCCGACAGCGAACAGCCCAGCAGAGCACAGCACAGCACAGGAACAGGACAGATCTGCCTTTCGGAAGAGCCGTGCCATGCGGGAGAGCGGCGTCTTCGTGGTCGGCGACGCCTCCCATGGACCCGCTCGGGCGCGTAGGTGATGGCTCTGAGAGCGCAGCAGCGGCCGGGCATCGGACGGGGTTGAAGTCAGCCTGCGGTGGCCCCGCTTCAACATATACACGCTTCAACAGATCACAGCAGGCTCTCCCGTTCAGTGGACCTCGCCCGCCAGGCCTCCCGAGAGAACGGCGCATTTGCAAGTTGCTCTTGCAAGTGCTCTGAGTCTTCAAACGCACGAGGACTGTCGCCCTGACTTTCCAGTGTGGCTTTGCCGCCGTCACCATTATTGGCGACGTGCAAGACGAAATGCTTTAGTGGATCGGCTGCAACAGGACAGAGAAAACAGAAGCCTGAACTTTGGAGCCATGTCCTGACGATCTGGGAAGGGGCCGGGCCTTCGATTTGCGGCATCTTTTGCGGCTGTAGCCGGCCGCGGCCGGCCGCGGCCCGGCCGCTCCCCGCAATTCACCCCCCCTTTCGGGCCCCCTCGGCTCCGCCTCGAGCCTGAAAGAGAACACCCCAGCGCCCCAGCATGTGCAACAGCAAAAGCCCTGCGCTTGTCACGCTGCACCCATCGAGCTTGCCATGACAGCTTCGCCCCGAAACTTTCGTCTGCAGCCCTGGACCCCGTCAGGAAAAGGCCACGTTTGGCCCTTAAGTAAAGCGCTAGAAGCTGCAGCTGCCACAGCATCGGGTGCTCCGCAGAGAGGGAAACACAAGTCTGGCTTTGCAAGGCATCGGCTGCCCTTGGGCTGTCGGCTTTCAATGTGCGAGTGCGTGCAACTGCTGCTTTGAAAATGGGCCTTCCTACTGCTTCCGCTTTCTTGTGCCTGTCTCACTAAGAGGCAGGACTTACCGAGGCCCGGCCCCCATGCCGGGAGCTCTCGCCGAGGGTGAAACATGTGTGTACTGTGTTGAAAGGTGCTTCTCAGTTGTGATGCTTTTTGATGCCACCTCTCACGGCAACTCCCTGAGTGGTGGCGCCACCGGCTGCTGAATGGACGTCTGTGCACTTCTCCAGCGAGAACTCCTGAAGAGTTTCAAGCTTGCAAGGGCCCTCGTGACGGAAGACAATGGGAGACAAGTGTCGGAAACGTTGACAGAGCGCGAGACGTCAGCATTTGCTGTCATACTAACAAGAACGTTGTGCCCGCGTCCGTGTCCTCCTTCGGATGTTTCGACTCGAAGTGCATCTGCATGGACTTCCTCAGCGCAAGGGACAAGAAGGACAGCAAAAGGGGATGAGAAAGTGCTGGGTGACGGGCGGGTCTGGGGCGGACTGCATGCAGATGTTGCACTTGTACTTCGAGTGCCCCACCGACCCGCCCTGTCGATCCTGGCAGAGGAAGGAGCTGCATCGTCCGGCGCCCCGGCCGCGGCTCTCGACTGGCCTTGAAACCAGCAGCGCCGCCGCCGCGATTGCAGGTGGCGTCCTTCTCCTGCAGTTTCAAGGAGGAAAAGCCATGGGCTGCGTGCGCTCGCTCCCCCGTCGCCCTCCTCCCGTCCTTCTGAGCGAGCTCCTTGGCCGTGTGCTTCGTCGGCTTCGCTTTGCCGCCCATGTGGGGAGGGGAGCTGAGGGGGTGGGGGCCCTTCTCGCCGCGCCGCTGGGGTGACCCCGAGAGCTCGCTGGAGCCGTGAGAGCAGGAGAAAGAGCGGTCTGGATGTATGGAGAGAGACTCAGAGACTCGGAGACTCTTGAAAGCCGAAGACACTGTGACAGTGACTGCAATCTGGCGCTCTTTCGCCATTCTTTGCTGCGTTTTGGGCCTTTCAGGCTCCAATTGCGTCAGCGACGAAACTTCGAGGAGAAAGCGATGCTGGGCCTGACAGTCAGCGACTGCAAGCTGCGACCTGTGCTGCTCTGTGAAGCTCCGGCGCGCAGGCAGGCCAGGCAGGCCAGGCAGGCCAGGCAGGCCAGGTCTCTCTTTTTGCTCTTTTTGCGCGGCAGGGCGGAGGTTTCCCCGCGAAGATCGGAACAGGCTTGAAGGCAAGCTTAGAAACCACGGTCTCCCAAAGATCCCAAGGGTCCCCGGGCTTGGACACGCGGCTCTGGAAGAGAAGGCGGCCAAGTCGAGTCACTTTGAAGGAGCTTCGAAGCGACCTTGAGCGCCTCTGACTCGGCGAGGGATTTTGCCGGATCTCCGGATTGCCGCAAGGCTTCGGCAAACTCCGATGCATTTGCCAAGGAGCCTACCGCCCCTACCAGACTCCCCAGGCCCTTACTCTGCATGTTATAACTCAGGCTCAGCACCTCGTGGCCTTCCTTCATCTGCCCAAGCAAGTACTCCGAGCTGGTCTGGAGCTCCTCAGAGAGACGCGATCCCGCCTACACCGCCTGCACACCATCTCCTACAACCACACACTTCTCTCTCAGTCTCTTCTTCTTCTCTCTCTCTCTCTCTCTCTCTCTCTCTTTCGCCAGGGTTAGGGGCAAGAGGATTGCTCCCCTTACCCGCGCGCTAGTGCGCCCCCGACCGTTGTGGAGGGGGTGTCTATCTCTCTCCCTCCCTCTGTTGCCAAGGGACGTCCACCAAGCCCTTCTCCAGCGCATCGGCCCCAAACCACACTTCGCCCGTGGCCACTTCCTAGCGAACAAAGCGGCCCGAGAGCGCCCGCCCGCGCGCCGCGCCCGCCGCGCCCGCCACCCCCGCCCCCCCCGCAACGTCGGATCGCCTCAATGTTGAGACTCGGGCGGTTGCCTTTCACGAAGCTGGAGAACTGCCGATAGATGCGGTTCACATCCTGCAAACTAGCAGAGCCGCTCTCCGAACACCCGCCCGCCGCGGGTGGCGGCTCTCCTCCTCGGCTTTGGCCAGCGCCTCCTCGGTGGGTGCCTGGAAAGGGTCGATCGTCCTGAAAAAACCAGCGTGGTTGGCGTGACGACGCAGGGTCTGAAAAGATATATCGTATATATCTACAAAATCTATCAGAGTCGTCCTCTTCCACTTGCCGGCGGTGGTCTGGATCACTTTGAGCCCTTCCCGGTCCAAGCGCTCCACCGCATTTGGCACCCCTGCAATCCTGAGCTGAAACGGATTGCGCACTGGCCACAGGGCAAAAAACACCGGGGATCGGCCAAAAGGCACGCCGATGCTGCCCACGGCTGCAAAGGGCGAGCACCTCGGCTCTAAAAACTACTCACACTTCGGCCGAAGGAATCAGCCTCCAGCTGTGCGAAACCCAAGCGGCAGAATCCGATCAGCGCAGCAGGCCATCATGTAGCCGCCGCTGGCTGCCAGCTCATCCACGCAGCACACCAGCCGCACGCCCCGCTGCCGAAAGCGCCTCAAAGCTCAAAGCAGGCTCCCCAGCTCTCCTGAAACACACCGAACGAGCGCGAGCGCACGCGCTCCCCGCGCTCTGCTAGGAGCTGCCGGGCTGCAGGAGCTGTGCCGCCGCCAGGCCTCGGCTTAATTCCGACTCTAGAGCACAGCAGCACATCGGAATTAGAGGCACCCCTTTTCTGCTGTCGGAGCACCGTAGCCCGTGACCGTACCTAGCGGGGCTAAGAAGCACTCAGAAGCACAGAAGCCTTGTAAGTTGTATGCCGAAAGCTGTGGTTGTCTCAGCGCGGGCCTCCAGGCGACTTCAGCTTCAGCACCACCTGCGCTCTGAAAGATCGTTCTCTCTCGCTCTCCCTCCTCTCACTGCTGTGCGTGTGCGTGTGCGCCTCCTTCACGGGGTCGGTGCTTTCCAGGACCGCTGTGACCTCCTTGGCCAACAGCTCCACGCCGGCGGCCGTGGGATCCCCGTCGAAGGAGAGCACGTAGACCAAAGGTGTCTCTGATCCCGATCCCGCCGATCGCGCCTGGTCGATGAGCCAGGTGAGGTCCACGTTCTCAGACAGAACCTTCTTCAAGTTCTCGAACTTCGTGTCGGGCACAGCCTTCTTGATGTCAGAGATGAGCTCCTCTCACATCCCGACATCCCACCACGACCCACCCTGAGCTCCCTGCCCCCCCCCCCTTCACCCCACCCTCCCCCACTCCATTAGCTCCTCTTGAAGCCGGACTTGCTTGTCCAGGCTCGAAGTCACTTGAAACCGGCTGGACATGCCACCAAAGAAAGAGCTCTCGAAGAGGGAAGCGAGCCACTGGCCCCGAGCTTCACGAAACTCCTCCTGGCGCTCCGTCTCCGCGGTCATGTACTTCTCCACGGCCTTAAGGGCTCCCCCCTTTCAGCCGCCTTTCGTGCATCAGAATTCCGTGTTTTCAAAACACCTGAGATCTTGGCTTGTTCGACCTTCTGCCGTTCTGCTTGTGAGATGGGCACGTCATCCAGCGCCTGGGATTCGTGCTTCTCCCATGCCGATGGCTCTAACTCGGGCCTTTCCGCGGCAAGGCGGGAAGGGCTGCTCCAGTTCCAACATGCGCACGATCTGGACTGGCGAGAGACATGTTATCCACCCACTGCCAATCCCAATCGAAACTACTGGCGCTGACAAGACGAATTCAATTGAGTCGACTCCTGGACAAAGCCCAGCAGCATGTTGCCAGGTCTCTGCGAAGCGTCGGCGCCGTGTTTGCTCTCGCAGAGCGGCTCCGGCTGAGGGTCCTGGTTCCGAGCAAAGAACACTGCGAGTTTACCACATTCACGGGTACAGTAGCTGAACCCGAAGGGAACACTTTTCTTTAATGTCGATGACACGCATCGGACTGTCCATTGTTTTGCTCACTCTGTAGCGCGACCGAAACAAACATCGTCCGGAGTCTTAGCGATGGTAACCGGCTGGTCAGTTAAGCAGTGAAAGCCTTTAGGAACCCCCTACACTTACAGTTTTGTCTCTTTGGGCCAACGGTGCTGTCCGGTCACACTGTACATTCATGTGACTGATGCTTATTCCCGAATGCGCAGCAGAAGGGTTCTCGTTCGGAGGTTGGGGGTCTGGGGGTTAGGGAGTGGACGCGAAATCCGTGCGCAGCGCCCGCAAGCGTTCGCAAGCGTCCAGAAAGCGCCAGCAGTATGGGATTAAAACTCACCGTTCTGGAGGCGGCGAATGTGTGTTTTTGCTGGTAATCCCTTACTAACGCGGGAAATTGAAAGCGTCCGAAATCCGTCGCTAGTAGGGGATTAGCCATGAAAACGCATCGGCTCGGAGTCGGGAAATGTTGTGTTTTTGCTACTAATTCCCCTACTAGGGCTGGAAATTCAATGCTCGCATGGCAAGCGTCTGAAGGCGTCCGAAATCCATCGGCAGTAGGGGATTAGCCATGAAAACGCATCAGTTCGGAGTCGGGAAATGTTGTGTTCTTGCTACTAATTCCCCTACTAGGGCTGGAAATTCAATGCTCGCATGGCAAGCGTCTGAAGGCGTCCGAAATCCATCGGCAGTAGGGGATTAGCCATGAAAACGCATCGGCTCGGAGTCGGGAAATGTTGTGTTTTTGCTACTAATTCCCCTACTAGGGCTGGAAATTCAATGCTCGCATGGCAAGCGCTTGCGAATGTCCACTTTCCGCCGCTAGCAGGGGATTTGATGAAAGCAGACTGTGAGGCAAATGCGGGAATATGGAAGCCTGCGAGATTGCCGACATAACGCTGTTGAGGAAGTTAGGGATGGGCTCCAGTAACTTCCCAGCCCACGCCCTCCTACCTTAAGCGTTTTATCCCTGTACCCCACCCTACATTTTCCAAAATCCTTTTAAAAATCCTTCATTTTTGACCGTTCCACCTCCTCCGATTTCCCTATATAATCTTCCTAAAAATCCTCCCTAAGATCCCCAGCCCTAAAATCCAAAAAGACTATCATAATGTATCTTTACAAATATTTTTGTAAAGATAAATTCCTAAGAACTTCCTAATTATTAGTTATGCATATATTGCCAATAGTTTAAAACATTTTTTATTTCATTAAAATCTATTTGTTCTAATTTTTTTTGCTACAAACGTATCTGCCTCCTTGCTTTCTAATATCTAATTCAAATGTATAATTTTCAACCATCATCTTACGGCGATATTCATACATATCAATATCTTTTACATCCTTTTCATCATAGAATTTTAACATAGCATATTTAATTGGTATATAAGTTTTTGTTTGTATTTGTTTTAGCTCTCGTCCGTGGTTCCCTGCTTCTATGTTTAATCTGTTATAAAGTGTATTTACATCTTCTTCTTCAGAATTGTTATTATTATCATTTTTACTTAAGAACTCATTAATAATTTCTTCCTGTTCCTCATGACTAAATGCCATACTATTTAATATATATACATAATATTTCTTTACATACTTTCTAAAGATTTTTACATATGTTATAATTCGTCACATACAATTTGATTATCTCCTTCTGTAATGAAATTTGCTCATTTTTAAATATGTATCTTAATTTTCAAATTAAACCTCTTTTCAATGTCTTTTACTGCTTCTGATATTGTAGGTTTCGACCAAAGCAACCACCTGCTCCAAAAACCAGCAGTTTCGAAATCATTCCAATCTTGATTTCCACTTCCGTGACGACTTATGTAATTTTTCTTTCGCTCCTCGTCTTTATGAATGGTAAAATCACTGTATCCAACTGCTCCAAACGAACCAATTTTCTTACCGTTTATAACAGCGTCGTATTCTTACCTTTTTTATTTGACTTAGTGATTACAACCTCTGTCATATATACAGTTATTTTAGAAAATATATTCTGGAATGGGAATAAATATTTCAATAAAGGGAATAAATTTATTCAAATATTTAGAGACTTGATGAATATTTCTTACATTTTAAGAAGCATAGACGGTGTCGCGGTGCAACTTCTGTAAGTCTTTCAAATGGGCTTTTTTCAAAGCGGGGTCGCCCTTAGAACTTATCCAAGCGTTATAACTGCTTCTAAACTTTCTGTAAGTAGCTCCGGTTATTGCCTTTTTGTTGTTGGCGTCTTCAATTACTTCTCTTAGTTTTTGTATTCCTATTTTGCTTGGGATTATTAAAGGTTTCATGTTTTGTTCTTCTCTTGTTTCAGTGGCATCTGATCTGGCACTTTCTTTCAAATTCGTTTTCTTTGTTATTCTTCGTTTTGGAGCGGGTTTTGTTTTTTGTTCTTCTTCTTGTCGCTCTTCCGGTCTTGGTGGCGCGTTTCCGCTTCAACTTGATGATCCCCCTTGTTGAACATTGGGCGTTGGTGTTGGTCGTGCCTTTGGTTGCGGTGCTGGTAATGCTGGTTGCTGAACGGCTGGCGGTAAAGGTTGTTGCGTTGCTCCTACATTAGGCTGGTGCGGTTGTAGCATCATAGTAGGTGGTATTGTCCCTGCTTCCAGATCTATATTTGGTGTTGTGTATTGTCCCTGTCTGGCTGTTCCGCTAAAGTCTAACAACGGGCGGGGCTGTGGCAAAATTCGCCTCATCACCATATCCCCTACTCCGCTTATAACCGGTTCGGCGACGCCCCTGACTGCCGCGGTTGTTAGATCCTGTCCGGACGCTACACCGGTCGCTATGTTTTGCCCCACTCTGACTAACCCCCTTCCTAAGCTGTGTAAGACGCCGTCGCCTCCTTCTTGGTCTATTTCCATTTGTTGAGCTTCTAAAATTGCTTGTGTGTTGGCTTCTCTGGTTTCCTCTGCTCTCCGTATCATCTCTGTAATTTGTGCGTGTGTGTAATCCGTGTCGCCATCTTGAGTATCAAAAAAGGTGTCGTCGTTTCCGAAAACTTCGGTGGTGGCGTCGTCGGTTTCCATGTTAAACATTTGAGGCGCTCTTTGCGTGTCGTGTTCGGTGAATAAGGCTCTGTGTGTTCTGCCTTCGTCCGCTGCGTATTGTCTTGCCATTCTGTCTCTGATTTCTCTTTCAGATATTCTGTTTTGTTCTGCCTTCAGTTTGTCTAAGTGATCCCGCCCATCGAAATAAGATCCCTTATTACTGGCTTTGTAAAATACGGCGTCCCTGTTAGGGAAGGGTTTTAGGGCTTCTTCGTTGTCATTCACCAACTCCAATATATCTTCGTATCGCGACCGTCTGTGAAATTGTATCTGTGCTTTTTTAACTACCATTTTATATTATATCTTTATTTAGAAAATTGTTTCACTTAATTTTTCTAATTTTTCGTATCTTTTTCGCAAGTGTTCTAAAGAAGTCTCGGGCATTCTGGGATTGTGCATCTCTCCTTTCAATCTGCTCAATTTATTTTCGTAGTTCGCCTTCATTTGACCCTCTAACAGTCTTCGTTTTAAAGCCATGTTGGTTGTCTGGGCTTCTCTGGTTTCTAACTGCTTCTTAAGTTTCATTAAGTAGTCTAAGCTGTGATTATTAAAAGTTGCTCCAACGTCGCCCTCTACCACGGGATTATCTAACGACTTGTTTGTCCTTTGTTTCCTTTGCTGTATGAACTTATACCTGTTGTATAATACCATATATATTATAAGTATATATAATTATTATGTATTTTGTTTTTTTACTTCTTGAAGAGAACATCGCTTTCCCTAACTTGTCAGCCTTTTCTTGTCTTCTCTTTTGAATTTCTGAATTCATCGTCCTTAGCTGTAGTTGTAATAATTGGCTTTGTGTCAGGTTCGCGTAGGGATTAACGGGCTGTGTCATAGGTGCTTTAGGGATTGGTGCAGGGGTTTTTGTTAGAGGCTTGGGTTGTTGGTAAATTTGCGGGGGCTCATTCATATAGATTTCGTTTTCATCTTCAGGCTCTGGGGCTAAATTCTGGACTTTAACTTTAGGTTTCAGGTTGTTCTTCCTAACGGGCTTCTTCAGTATGTCGCTTGGTTTGCCTTCGCATTTTTCGGGGTGGGAATACCTAAGGGTTTTCATACACATCGTTTTCTTGCAGTCTTTGCATTCTCCCTTATCTTTGGCGACTTCAGTGATCTTATCTCGTTTAGGATCTTCATTTTTGGGTTCAGGTATTTCGATACTTCGTCCGGTTTGGCTTCTTCGGGTTCTGGGTTTTCATCAACAGCTACAATGTCATTGCTTTCTTCGGTCATCTATATAATATTCTATATATTTTCTATTTCATTTCACATCATATCTGTATTCTGGAAGAGCAAAGAAAAAGATATATTGACGCCGTGTAGGTTCAATATGTTTCCCAGCTCGTCCGTTATTCTGAAGGTTAGGCGTTGAACGGTACGCCTTGAACAATTTATATAATCGTATTCTGTGATCCCAAAGTCGTGAATAAGACCGGCGAAGGGGGCATTTACCGGAACTTTCTTAACTATGGCATTTGACAAAGATGATGGGCTGTGAAAGTTGTTATTAGACAGTTCGGGACAGGCTATGTAAATGTTCGAGTAAAGCAGTAAATTAATGAGGTTGCCCGATTTCACATTACCCACCGTTGATTTAGAATATTCGTAATTGCCTATGGTTTCGCTTATGTTCCATCTTTCATTAGCGCTAAGCGGGTTTGTGCTCTCATCCCAAAAGCTTTCGTATCCGGCGGTTAATTCTTTATCCGTCAAAATCTTAAAATTAGGTGCATTGGTTGCTTTGATTTGAATGTTGTTTATGGACGGTTGATATATTCCCGTGAAAGTGCCTGAGACGCCGTAGGCTTCGTTCATTTTATCGGCTACGGCTTCGGCGAGTTCCGGCGGTGTTAAGTTATAGGATA